TTTAACAACAACTTGTAAGATGCAGCCAACAAATGCAGTGAGGAGCGTTGTCATCGGAAATAACCCTTAACAGATGAAAGATAGTACGGCAAAGATTTCCTCAGCGGACATTCAGACTAATGTTTTATTGTGAATATGAGATTGAGCTGAAGAATGAATGCAGGTAATCACACTCGCTCAGTCCATCTCTCTCTCATAATACTATATAGAATACAGTGATATTTTAATAAACTGATACAATAAGCTTTCAATGAAGCAACTCAACCTTCCTTCGTTACTAAAGTTCTAAAGTGACGTTTTTGAATTAGTAACAGATCTTGAGCTCAGCTGTTAAACTGTCAAACTGAGATTTGAATATGTGGCGGAAGAAAGTAGTTCTGCGCAAAAGAGGGTTTTAAAAGACACATCGTTGTTGTTTTTCTTATATATTTACACACTCCTGCCATCAAACTGTTGTATAAACGCAATATCACACTCATAGACGTACGATATGGCTGTATATCGGCACGCTTTGGTTATCTACTGCCGAATCACAGCCGTGCCGATATACAGCCATATCTCACGTCTGATATTGCTCATATATGTGTCATATAGTTTACTGATGCAGAAAAGTGCCAAGATGTGCTTAGATGCTAAAAAATGTGTAATCATTATTGATTCATACTACAATACAAAATGATTTGTCAAATAAATGAAACATGACGAAACATTCATTTGAGTTTAAATTGTTATAGCTTACTTCGAGAGATTGCAGTGATACATGACCTGGTGAAAAAGGACTGAAATAATAATATTGAAAGTAGGTTTTAAAAGTGTGCCCCCCCCCCCACACACACACACACACCCCTTTTAGTCATACTGTTTCAACCAAAACTATTTTATCATTTAGAGAAATAGTGTTCCTTTAATTAGGAACCATTGTTATGCTCTAAAAGTGTAAACCTATTGAGCACAGTACAATCAAGCTTAAATGCCCCCTTTACCTGAATTAAACAATAATTTATTTTAATTGTGTATATGACCTATTTATTTTAATTGCAACATTGTTTCTATTATTTATATTTAGCTTGCATTTTTTAGATCTTGTAGTTACCAGAGAAACGGTCTCCACTGTCTGTCTGTATGATGACATCACAGCAAATGTTTCTCTCCCACAGTGTTCGTATGACCCCCTCTCTTCGCTCCTGCTGACCACAGCGTCTTTGCCACACAGTAGCTCGAGTCTTTCGGCCCCTAAACACCTACAGGCTTCCAGAACATCATCTGTTTCTCCACTGTCCACTTCTCCACTGTAGCTGAAGTCCAGTACAGCCTTCAGTCCTGCAGGAGTCACCCGTCCTCCATCCAGCTCCACTTCCTTAAGCCCCGCCTCTCTGGATAACAGCCACGCCTCTGCCTTTTGACTGACAGCGGCGAGCACCAGGTGTTTTAACCTGCAGTCCAGGAGAAGCCCCTCCTCCTTGAGTCCTCGCAGTGAGGCGAAGAGGGCATTGCAGTGTGAGGAAAGCACAAAGGGGCGGAGCTCCGTGTCAAAGAGAGGCTCTATAGGAGGAGGTTTTCTGAAAGTGGGCGGGGAATGGGTTGATGTGGGAGGAGTTAAAGGGACGATTGACTTTTTTTCTCTAACATTTCTTTTTAGACTTGAGGATGCAATGTGACTTCCAGCTTCCTTTTCTCTTCTTTCTTCATGTCTGCTTTTCACAGAAGAAGACTGGAGATGAACGGGCGTATCTACCGCCTTTTTCTCTAATTTCCCTCTGGTTTTGTACTGAGACATTGGAAACCTATTAAAAGTGTGAAAGCATTCCGTAAATGAACAATTATCTGAACCATCGAAGCATTTCTAAGCAAAGAAGTGCAACTGTTGGCTCTGTTATCAGGAAGAAGTTGCGTCAGATCATCAAAACACTTTCTAGGAAATCTCGCTTTACAAGAGGTAATTAAATAAAAAAATTATATGGGAACAATGCATGTTGACAGTGCTCTCAAATATGACCAAATTATCACTAAAAAAGTGGCCTGCCATATTTTAAGTGGTCATTGCTGCTGAAGATGACAAAACAGAGAAAAGTAAAATAAAATAAAATGACCACCCATTGCATTTATTGCTGCATTATTTTTCTCCCATTATGTCACACATATATATATATATACATATATATATATATATATATATATATATATATACATACATATATAAACAATTAGATCTTATCTACTTTTGTTTTTGTTTTGTCACTTTTGTTTACTTGAACTTTTGTTTCCGTGCTTTTAAATGTAACCAAATGTCAGTGTAATATTAATAGTTCAGTCAAATAAATTGGACCTTAACAGGTCTTTTTTTGAAAGTCACTTTATATATTTACAGTAGCATACACATTTTTTAAGCACGTGGTCCAACATACTTTATCTTTCACAGAGTTAATAAGTAATTTCTATTGGCAGTAATTTTAAAAAGAAAAGAAAAAATGAGGAGGTTTTATTCATTGGCATTGTTCTGTGAGCAGTGAGTCTTTATCGTGCTCATTATATCAGAGGTGACCCCGCTGAAACACAATCGCATGTTGACACTGACTGACACACGAAAGCTCTTGAACGTGAATAATGACTCTGCAATGCTCCCTTAACTACAGTTTAACCTGCTCCAACTCACCGTTATTTCTGTCCTAAATATCAGAAGTACTCGAAGCTTTCCGCGCTTGTCCTTGAAGCAGCTACAGTCTGTGAATGTGTTTGCTTTCTGTGAATCAATCGAAAAGAAAAGAAAATGTTATTGAACAAAAAATATGTTATTTAGTCTGTTTGTGGTTAATCTCATGAAAGCACGTCCGCGTCATTTTCGTCCTAAACTCAGAAGGAAAGCAAAATGTAATAGCCTACTATTTTTTGAATAAACTAATTGTAGGGGAGACGGGGGATGGTTGTAACACGGGACAGATGTAACACTTCCAATTTCTCAAATAAGGAACGAGTTAAAAGTCACCTAATTCACTTCAAACATTCTCAGTTTAGTCCTTATTCCACATGTGAGGAAGTAGAGCCCTGTGGCAGACACAGCAGATTTTAGAGGAGAAAAACTCATTTTGATTTGTAAAAAAAGTAACTTTTTATTCTTCATTTGTTTTTATGATGCCAATCTCTGCTTTGTAGTTAAACTCATCAACGTTAAATTATGTTTAGTGTGTGTCTGTGTAAGTATTTTTCATGAAAGTTGTTAGTGCTAATATTTCATGTCTTCAAGACTCTGCGTTAGTTGTAACAACAATGAAATATGTTATTACTTACTCTAAGAATTTTTTTTAATTATTATTATTATTTATATTTTTTCTTTGAATTTCCACGTCTTAGAAGAGAAAAGCAAACTAAGGGGTGTCTCTAAATGTTCAAGTTCAATTATATTCTGGCCAATTATGTCTGACATGAGCAAACATGCTTAAACACACACACACACACACACATGCACGTTATTCAGTTTTATCACGATGCTAATGTAACACACAAACACATACCAATGATGTTGAAAAGTCAGTGTTGAAAAAAAATTTCAAAATACTTTTTTTTTGTCATATTCCTTGTTGCATAATGTTACATCTCACCCCGCGGTAGGCCTATGTTACAACTAACCCAGACTATGGGGTGAATTGCAACATTTCACTCCTCGTGTTTGAAACTAAACCATGCATTTTCTGTTTGTGTTATAAAGATAACAGCAACGACATTTGATTGCAGACACTTGTAACTAGTTTGAATCACATTTTGAACGCACTGGCTTAAAATAACTCCAAGATACAGACAGAAATGTCAAAAATGTTACAACCATCCCTGATCTCTCTATATTTCTGGATCATTCGCATTAGTGTAAGGCTTCGGATGTTTATTTCATTCTCATTTCTCTCACTGATGATTCTTGTTTTTCATATTGTCCAGACAATGATTATTCATCAATATTTGGTAGGCAATATGTAAATGTATGTTTCTTACGGTTTTGCGAATGAACGCGAGCATCCCAGTTTTAATACAATGTTCTTAATAAAGCTCTTTATATGGCGCGATAAGATAAAGTTCTCATGAAATTTCTGCAAAACATTAATCTTGGACCGTATATTCAGTGCTGTGTTTAATTCCAGGAATTATCTGAACCGTTCTGACACCCGTTTACAGGCCTACAGATGAGTGGCGCTCCCTCTTTTTAATAGAAAGTTCTGCCAACTAAACCCATGATTACCTCAGTCAGTCAGTAATGAGCCAACAAATTGTTTAAGATAGGTTTTTATACAAACCTGTGCGTGTGTGCGCGCGCGCATAGACAGATTATGGCGTATTTCACGGTTGTGTAAAGCATTGAACACCATGTTAAAAGTTTCCTATTAAGATCACTCGTTTCTTTACTCAAGTGAACTTGAGACCTCGAGGCCATAAAGTCTAGAACGTTTGTAAAAGGAGTTTCTCCAAAAGATCATAAAATCAGTGACAAAGCACATTGCTTTTGTGTCTTTTGTTGCCTTTGTGTAGGCTATATAAAGTACTTTCAGTGCAACTAAACGCTTTTCTTCCTTCAATTACTAAGTTCAATCATATCATAAAATCAGAAGTCCATTTTTTAGCTCTTTTTTACCACCCTTTCCATTTACTGTTGCATTCTGTGTAATGGAATATCAGCCTCATATTAGATGTTATTATTTGGGTTAATGATTGACCGGAACCAGTTGACACAGATACCGTTATCAGGATAATCCGAAGAGGAAACGGAGCGCGCTTGACATCTTTTATGTCATCAATTATGCAGAAATGCGTCTCAGAACTAGCAGCGTCCACGTGGGATGAGAGGAGGTGTAACTTTTGCTATAAATTAAGAAAGCCAAGATGATAACGGAAGACAAAACTGCAGCGCTGCTCAAAAGGAGATGAAAACTCTTTAGAATAATTTAGTTGGTTTTCTGCTGCATTTGTTCGCGTTTTCTTTATTCATTCAGGAATTAAGTTTCAAATGAAGAGGAGACCAGCTGTCAACCAATAGAGGAACATAAATAAAGTAAGTTCTTGAATATTTTGGTGCATTTCCCCCCGCCCAAATCTACTATTTTGACCAAAGCTAAATCTGTTCACATATCAACGCCACAACTTTGATTAAAGTATTAGATTAGAAGTAGTGCAGAGTCTACAATTTGGTATAAAATTATATTTATTTAACTTTGGATAAATTGCATAAAATAATTACAAATATTTAATTAATTATTTAAATAAATGATATAATGATTTTATAAACATTAAA